TTTTTTTTTTTGGGTTGTATGGAAGCCCCAAACGCAATTTCATTGTTCTTGACAATGACAATAAATAAATAAATTAAAAAAAAAAAATATTGACCCAGGGTGAGATCTAAAACCTGCAGGACACCGGACCTCGAGGAGTTGCCCACCCCTGGTAGAGAGTAATAAAAGGGTACAGGTGCTAACATGGCCAACATTTAAAAAAACCAAGCGAATTATAAATCAAAAAGTACAACAATGGTGGAGCCAAACTGTTTAGCAGCTCCAATCATATTCTAAAACCAAAAGGCGTACCATTTTGCTTTCAGAGCTACAGTGACTGATCTCACTGGTGTTAGTCAAACAAAATGGAATAATTGCAGCATGTGTTTTTATCTAAATTTGATATCTAAATTTAAACATTTATTAATCTAAATATCTAAAAGTTATTGAAAAAACGTCTTAAAGAGTTATTTTCAGATAAAAATATAAAAACATCTACAATTCTACAATAGTTAGACAAAATGCAGTGCTCATGCTGTTTATTTATTTATTTTATTTAGGACAGTGCATGTTAATGAACATAAATGTAAAAAAAATTACATGAATGTAAACATACCAGATTATAGCCAAGGGCTAATTTCCATCTGTTGTCCTTAAGCATAAAAAAATAGACATAATAATTCATAAAAATTCATCATTCATTCATAATAAAAACTCCATCACCAAACTTACACATACACACCATTCATGCTAATGTGCCCAAGCAGCCCAGGCAGACATTAGGTTGTAAGTAGTAAATCTGCTGCCTGTACACTTTAACTGGCACTTCACAATAGATTTCTGGCACTTAAGATACAATCATTTGGCTTCAAAAGACATGAAGTGCCTTTATTTGTGTTTCCACATTAATGACAATTCTAATACTTTACAGATTAGTCTTTTGGTGCTTTGTCAGAAATTTTAATTTGCATGTAAGCAAACCTGAAGTTTCCAGACATGCGTCTGTGCTGTTTTCTGAATTTTCTTAGCAGCTACTCACTTCCAGTTTTCACATTGGCTTGACGCGCACACCCACAGGCCAAATTAAGAAGCCTCCCAAATTTGCACACCTTTTTCTTTACTTAACAGTAACGTGTCTTCCACAGCTTCTGAGCCACTGTGTTAATGTTGGTTAATCTGACTGTGACACATGATTGATAGCCTCTCCCAAGTGTGCAGGATCCAAAGGATTAGTAGTGTTTACTTCTAGTAGCATGCTGGGTACCTTGGCTGTAAATGACTGGAATTAATAACCTGCTGACGCCTATGAGACAGCTCTGTTTATGTACAGGGAGAGACATGACAGTCTGCCCTGGACATTGAGTAGCTGTAAAAGAGTCTGCCCTTGCCCAGAAAGGTTTGTGTTTATATGTCACTTATGACGATGCTAATATTCCTGTTAGCCTAAAATGATTCTTTCTAAATGTATTTTTTTGGCCTTTAGCATTTTTAGGTCATATGCCATGAGGCTCAGATATTAATAATACAGGATTAGTGCAGTGTTTACATTTCCCTCTCTCTCTCTGCTTCTGGCTTTATCCACACCTCCCTTCTTCCCTGTCACACACAGACACACACATGCACACTAAGGGGCATGAGAACAGGGTAAATCCTGACAACTTCAATGAAGCCTCACACAAAGACTAAAACTCGAGGGGGGGTGAGAGAAATGCAAAACCGTACAGTAGCCTGACCTCTTCCAGCTAACATAGACATGCATGCACCAGATACCGGGCGTGGCCACCTTCCTGCACAAAGCCAGAAATAAAGAACCAAGATAATGTTTTCAGCAACAAGACCCCTGGGTGACCTTCCTTATCGACCCCAGCATGACCCCATAGTGAGGAAGGAGAGAAGCAAAGCGCCCAGTATCACTATACAGGAGTCGAATGGACAGGGACATCACTACAATAGTGAAAAAAAGGAAGGTGCTGTCATTGTGTGCTCACAGTAAATCACTGTGTAGGTGACAGTCCCAGATCTCGGGCCCTTGCACCCACCTTAACATCCCGGTGCGCTCATAAGTCAAACGTCTTTCTCTGTCTACACTCTCACTGTGATTGTAGCCTCAAGTCTTTGGTCATTCATGTATTGTTTCTTAAGTATTTCTCCACAGCTGGGCTGGTTTGTCTGTTTCGGGTCAAATACAGGTTTGTGGCTTCAGGGTGCAACTGTACTCGGCTTAACGCTGAGGAATGTGCCGCATCCAGCTTCAATACCAGCTGGGAATGGAAGGAGATCATTTCCACTCTCAATGACTCCATCCATAAATTGAAAGCTAAGGACGATCAGTCTATGCAGCTGGGTTTTGAAAGCAACATAACAATTGAATTACGCTTTGTTTTTACATGCCTCTATGCTTGCCATCCTCATACACTAGGCAGACCTCTTCTATCTTAACGCAAGTGTAAACAGTTATCTTTTTTGTTTATGCTCTGATATTTAACAGTTAAACCTGTGAGAGTGCTGTGTAACCATCGCATAAATCCATCTGTCTGTCTCTTGTAATTTTTCTCATGTCTTCGCTGTGTTTTGTCCACAGTCGACCTGGAGCACATGAGGACAGTGAAGTCTGATAAACACCAGCGCTTCTGCCAAGAGAACGGCCTCATCAGTCAGTTCGTATCGGCCAAGACAGGGGACTCGGTTAGTACCAGCCAGTTTTCAGTAGGTCAGAAAATAAATTGGAAGTGGCTTTCATTGGATTCACCTTGTGTTATTTTTCTCTGAATTTCTTATTCCAGGTGTACCTTTGTTTTCAGAGATTGGCTGCTGAGATTCTGGGTGTAAAACTAAACAAAGCAGAGCTAGAGCAGTCACAGGTGAGCCGTGACAGCATCAAGGTTTAGCATCAAGGTTGTGTATGCAACGTTCTTCTAATCGTATATGGATAATTTGCTCTTAGTCTCATCAGTACTTCACCAGTCACCTATGTGCAATGTTATGCCTGAACTTAAGCGAGGTCACGGGGAGTGCGTTAGGTCAATGGAGGTCACCACACACTGTATAGGACTTTTTGCTGTGTAAACATGATTTTGCTACGTCTGCCTCCTGTGATGGTATACCTGCCACTGACACTGCCCATCTGTAAATAGACCCACATTGACCACATTAATGCGTGAAGTCAGAGGTTAAAGGTAGGCAGTTGTTGGGGTGAGAAGGTTAGGAGTGGCTGGCTGATTTATTAGTTTTATCTCCCACTGTTTTTGTTTTTTTTTGACAAAACGGAGCCTCGGCTTGCCAGCCAGTCCATGATGCCCAATAGTGGCAGCTGTAGGATTTATAAGGTCACCTCCCCCAGAGGCATTAATCCTGAGTGTGATATGACCGGCTGGAGCCACACTGGCTGGCTAGTGGTTGATGAGCCTGAGGGGCTACAGAGAGGTCAGGACCCCAGAGAAGGGAGAGCTTGTAGGTGAAAGAGTGGCCAAATTCTCAAGCTCTGCTCCAATCAGCCAACACCGCTTCTGACTAAGTGAAAATGACCACAGACTAATGTAGCTGTCCATCTGCTTTTGCATTTAACCCCCTCCCTTCATAGTTCTGTCAGTAAAGCAAAGTGCTTTAATCCAGGCTAATCAAGCTGGGTGGGTGGCTAGATCCACTGTCCACTCATAAAGAAGGGATGAGTAGTTGTCAGAAACACAAAACACAGCACAGCTCTACAGGGAAGAAAACATATATTGTATAAGCAAAAGAAACTACTTAACATTTATTAAACTTCCTATAAAACCACTGAGTTAAAGGTACATTCCAGAAATTTACATATCTAGTGGATACTGTATGTGTTGTGATCTGAGGTTCTGATTGATTATGAATAATCTAAGAATTAAGAATCTAATCAAATAATTATTTTCTCAGTCTGTTGGTTTGCTCAGAATTTCTCATAGCTGGTATTTTCAGATGTTTTGTCAGCGCAGTAGTCCAAAGTGTTTGTCGATTTCTGCAGGTTGGTGTGGAGGAATGTGTTTTACTTGGTCAAAGCAAAAACAAAACGCAAGAAACAGTTCATAAATTTTCATAAAGACCAGTGTTGTAAATGGAAATTGGTGCAGAGAGAAGGCTTTCAGCAGGTCATGCCTCTGGGTGTAGCCATGGGCGAGCAAAGTGTCGTTATCAGCTGTCAGGTTTAGAGAGCTGAACACGAGGGTCACAACCCCCGACAGTATTATATCTGCCTGGCAGGCTTCTCCGTCATGGTCCTCTGTCTGTAAGATCAGATAGCGAAGTTACGGATCACTCACCGACTCCAACACCAGGTTTCAGCAGCTCGTTAATCAGGCAGCCAACCAGGGCCTGGTATTCAGCCATGTGGGCTCCTCGAAGGTGGTTAATCACCATAGGGTCCAGCTGCCTTTTGCGCTATTGCCCTTTTCTATTGAATAAATGAATTATTTTTAGGGTTTGGACAAACCAGCAATTTAAAATGTCTCATCAGACATAAACTAGGATGAAGTGTACTGACATGGCATCGATCTCAATAATGAAAGACTAGATTTTCAGTGTTCTAAGGTTTTTTCCTTTGTGTGTTTTAGCGTGTGTTTAATTAGAAAACTGGCTTAGCTCTGTGTGCTGTCTACACTCCTTTTCTTCCTCATCTCTAGCACTCCCTGATTTATTCTTTCTCATTCACTCATTACTTTGCTCAATCTCGCTTTTAACTCTCATCCTACGTGTGCTCTCTCATGATTTTATAACTGTCTGTTTTTCTGTTTTGTTTTGTTTTTCTATTCTTTTTCCTGTCTTCCACTCATCTACTGCTCGATACACTGAACCTGCTCAGCGGATTGTGAAGGCTGAGCTGGTGGACTACCCACAGGATGAAGGTCCAATTAGTCAAGAGAACGCCCAGCAAAGCAAAATATGTTTGATTCAGTAGCCGGAAGTATGTCTCTACAGTTACACAGATATATCCCCGTAGATTTGTAGTTGTAGCAACTATTAGTAATAGAGGTTATGTTTTGGTTCAGAGTTTAAATTTACAAAGTAGTGAATCAAATAAAAAGACATGTCCTCTGTAGTAGTGTTATTTTTTTTAGTCCACTTTGGGATTCTAAGCTATGTGTGTTTTTGTCCGTGTGTGATGTAATGAGAAAAACCTCAAAACCATGAAACAGATATGACTCCATTCTGACCTTCATCTGCTTTTGACCAATGTCTTCAGTCATAGCATGGACTTTGAGCCCATGTCAAGAAATGTTAAAGAAACAATTTGGGAGATATCTCAGTCAGTCATCTAGATGAGAAGGTCCTTACAACTTACAGTATGTCTGTGCATGACCCTGCCGCCAGTAATGGGACCGCTTAGACCAGGGGTGTCAAACTCAAATACACAGTGGGCCAAAATTCAAAACTGGAACCAAGTCGCGGGCTAACGTTAATATTTATTGAAATATATTTATTCCTCCAGATTTAAGAATGAATCTCTTCTTATGGACTCAAACACGTTTTGCTGAAAGCTGAATATGGAACAAGCAAAGCCTAATACTAAACAATATAAATTTTAGCTGTGTAATACCAGTAGGCCAGCTCTGATAGTAATTTGGTATGGCTTCGCGGGCCAAATGTAATTAGGCTGCGGGCCAAATTTGGCCCACGGGCCAGAGTTTGACACCTATGGCTTAGACGGACATACAGAGTTTTTAAAATTAGATGTTTCTCCTGATAATGGTTTTTGGGCTAAATTAAGCTAGTCTGCTGCTGGCTGTGGCTTTGAATTTATAGTCAAGACGTAAGAGTCGTATCAGTCTTTTCATTCAAAGCTGCATGAAAGCAAACACTTCTGTTTCTCAAGATCTCATTCACAGTGTCGTTTATCGCACTTTTCAGCAGTTTAACTCTTTAATAGGCGAGGCTTAATTTAATCTGTGGCCTAACTGGAGGTTTCTGGTATTTCAAAGGAATTCTTGTTGCAGCTTTCAAACTAAAAAGACACCTTTCCATCTTTTTCAGCGCGTGGTGAAGGCGGACATTGTGAACTACAGTCAGGACACTGTAGCCAGGACAGTCAACCCCCCTCGCAGCTCCATGTGTGTGGTGCAGTGATCCCCTCCGAAACACACAAACACACATAAACACACACAAAGCTTGTTTACAGTGTTACTCTTTCCAGATTTTTTTGATGACTGGATGAAAAGTGTTTCTCTTTGTGGGTGAGGAGAACAGACCGTGCGGTTTCGAGGCCTTGGTCTGTAGTTCAGATATTTAGCACGAATAATTTCATTGGTGGTTCACCAAAAAGGATACGGGACCTCACTTTTCTTTTTTTCAAGTTTACACGCAGCTATTCTTTCATTTCATCTTAGATTTATATTTAAAAATGACTCTTACATCGATTACTAGCTCTATGTTAGTACAAAGCTGGTTTTTCAGTCTGCTAGTTGAGAATATTTTTATACATGAGCATATTTTCTTCTACCATTGCTGTTAGAGACGTTTGTTTAAACAGTAACCCCTGTTTAATCTGTGGCTGTAACTATGACTGCAGGGTGGATGTTCACGGGACATAAACGGGAAGATGAAAGCAAATGTGATTTTCTGATTTTCTTTTTATGCCTGTGGTGCTCATCAGTTGAAGAGAGGGGAAGTAGGTGTAGAAAAGGTTTTAGCGAGTGGAGTGAAATGAATCTCTGCTTTGTTTTTGCCAAGTAAGGGCCTCCACTAGCAGTAATGTGATGTGAACTACCGTATGTTGTGTTATTTTTGCATAGACATATTTAAATTTTAGTCGTAAATTAGGATTTACATTTTCCACAAAACAAACATACAAATGATTTCCATCTGTTTAAACAGCGTCTCTTCTTCAGGTGTTCCTTGTAGATTATATTATCCATTTCGAAAATGTAGTTTTATATTTATGATTAGAGTTCATGTAATTTTGTTAGATGCTCCTTTGGTAAAGTGTTAATGACATTAGATGAATATGACTGAAGAGGTTCTGAGTATCAAGTTGAGCATCAGCTAAGCTAAAAATATACGTTTTGATTAGATTTCTCTTCGACTGTCTAGAACAGCGGTTTGAATTGGAGAATGAGTTTGATGCACAGCAACCTGTTCTTTAGTTTGTGTGTCTGAGATACTACCAGATTTGTTTAGGTGGTCACAACTAAACAGCCATCATATGTGTAAAATGTGTATTTGTATATGAAAAGCTATCCCCGCTCCATTTCAAAGCAGCTTTCAATGATTAGAAATCATCACAAGGCATCACTGTAAATTCTGATCATGCTAAGAAGATGTACTCTTTAGAAATGAAAAAAATGTACAGTGAAAAGTGAATGTTTAGATATACAGTGACACATATTTGTGTTTTTAAATAAATGCTACATGGAAAAAGAAGTGATTTGTGAAGTTAATTAATTAATCTTGTGTGTACAGCAAGACTTTGCAGGTCTTGCCTGGAAAATGGGAAACAGACATTTATTTAAGTTTTATTTAAATGTCTTTATGGTAGTCATCAGGGATAGTTATTCCTGAAGGAGACTCTTCTTTAGATTTGCTGCCTTCTGTTCTGTCAAGAGGATCCCTCACTGCTTCAATAATGCTGAGGTCTGCGCTCTGGGGGAGTCATGACTGATGGTGTTGCATTGGGCTTTTTACTGTCCACGTCCGCTTTCCGTTTGCTAGAAATGTGTTTGGGTCATTGTCAGAAAAGCTGAGAAAGGAAGCCATTGCCAGATGGTATTACATGATGGATACCATCTGATGGTACTTTTCTTGGTTCATAATTCCATCAATTTTGACAAGATCTCCAACATCACCGGCTGATATGCAGCCCCCAAACCATGACAGAGCCTCTACAGAGCCTCCACCTGTCACTGCTGATTTCCAGCCCAGTTCTTGTGTAATTTGGCAAACCTCAGTGTTTTCTCCCCATTTGCCTCCCTTAAGAATAGCTTCTTGACAGGCACCTCTGCATTACAACAAGTTCTGATGACACTTCACGAACAGTAGATGGATCAACTGAAGGTCAGATGCACATCTTAAATTATTTCTCAAGTATTTGCTAGTCAAAGGAGCTTGCAAAGAAAAGCGTCTGGACTTCTTTAAGTTGCGTGAAGACGTTTCACCTCTCATCCGAGAAGCTTCTTCAGCTCTAAGTCCAAATAGCTTTTTGGGAGGGTGGCAGAATACAATTTAATGCCTGTCAAGCTGTTATATTTTTCATAGTTTCTGCTAATTTCCAACAGATTGCTAGTAAACAAATTGTCCAAGGATACAATTTAAAATTGTTTCTTTAGTAAGTCGTCTGTTATGTGTAGACACACCACTGATTCATGTCTTTAGTTACAGTTTTATGCTTTTAAAAAGCATTGCTCTGAGTGGTCAGGTACAAAGACTGAACTGATATTAAGTTAAAAAAGCAGCCAGTGTCTTGAATAAAGAGTGGGATTTGGACTGAGCGTGGAGTTAAAAATTGGAGCAGGACACTTGATGGTTCGTAGTGGGGCCGATGGCGCGATATGACAGCCTCGCTTCTGTCAGTCTGCCCCAGGGCAGCTGTGGCTACACCTGTAGCTGCCTCCACCAGTGTGAGAATGTGAGAGTGAATGAATAGTGGCATTGTAAGCCCTATATAAGTCCAATCCATTATTAGTGGGAAAGTGCAATTTTTAATTTATTTTTTTACATCCCAATAATGTTTGCATATGTACAAATAATTCCTGTGAACTTAAAACTAATGTGAGAGTTATACTTCTGTGGAAAATCTACACTTTATATAATTCTTAATCCTTAATCTCATCCCTATTATCAATTTAGACACATAGCTTCGTGAGCACATAAGCCCCACCCACCTGTGATTCAAACCTTGGGTTAAAGAAAGGCTGATTCTAAAGGCAAAGGCTGTTTCCAACAGAGTATAGATTACGAGAATGAACTGAAACCCAGTATAAGATAAATTAGGATAATTTCAACACCATGATGCTAAAACAACTCTACTGGAGTCCAAGAATGAAAATGTGGAGCTAGAAATAAGCCCAATGTTTACTGTGTCTTCCACTAAAAATGTGATATAATCATAATAGTTGTTTTCATCATTTGTACTTTGGCCTATATTACCGTGAAATTACTGCATGATGTGTGGTATTAAAACGTAATTAGCTTTACCCTGCAGAAACCCTGATTTAGCAAATGATGTGAGTTTGAGGGGAATATTGTTACCACAGAATGAGCTGCCTGAATGTGCGCAGACATTCTCATTACTCAGGCTTTGTTAGCTTGCTACCACATTTGGACCTTGGTGTCGCTGCAATTTTTCACCTCATTCTGCTAACAGAAACCAACAGGAACACGCCCTGGAGGTGCTCATATGAGCAAGGCTACTGCTGATAAAGATGTTCAGAGTAAGAGCCCATGTGTTGAAATTTAAGTATAAGGATGGAAACTTGACCACCCCAGAGATCCCCATCCATACAGACGAACCTAAGTCTCTGGTAGCTAATGAGCCACCTGGTCTTTGTTGACTAAATCCACCCTGAACAGATGATCCAAATGGCTTTTTAATGGTTGTAAACTTTATTAATTAATGACTTGAATTCTCTGGCCTTTTGTTAGCCTTTTTATTTGCTGAGTCATTGTCAATGAATCCACTGGCGTGGTTGGAAGGATTAAGCGCTTTCAAAACCACTGAGACAAACAAAACAAACGCTGTATCTATACAGGGATGCCCTCCGTTTTGTCCTGTTCCAGGTGTTGTTAAGTGCGACTGTGCGGTGCAGAGCTACTATAAACAACACTAAAGGAGAGCGAGGCAGCCCAGCTGGGGTCATTCCAGCGCACTTGCATTGTTTCGCTTGAGTAGACGTCTTAGGAATTGTCTCTGCTGAATTTTTGTCAAGAGCTGTCACCGTCGCTGACAGGCGAGACTTGCCCTTGGCTTTGCTGCTGTTTAGACAGGTGTTTTTGCAAAGAAAACAACTGCAGCTCTGTTTCAATCATAGACGCTCACAACAGCAAATGTTCCCCTAAAGACGAAAGGAAAGGAAGGAGTGCATAATGCCTGAGAAGGGTGAGGCTTTTTGACAGACAGGCAGAAGTCAAGGCCGATTTGCGTCAAAGTGAATTTGTCTACCTGCTTTCACTGTTTCTTCTTGTGAATCACTTTGTGTGTTGGTTGGTTTCGGTGTTTGCTCACTTTCCATTTGGGTACACATACCAGAAGATCCAGAAGTAAACAGACAAACTGGACGATGTATTTGTTGGTATTTAGTTAACCACTCTGACACTTTAAATTTGCTCAGTAGTTTGTCGTCTCAGACGAAGTTTCGGTCCTCCAAGAAACCAAAACACATCTTCTCCATAGGCACAAGTCCTGCTTTTTTCCCCCTTTTTTTGTATTTCTCGTTCCTCTTCCTCCCCGTCTGTGTTTCTCATTGCTGAAACTCTGTGTTGACAGTCTCAAAAAACCACATATGACAAGCTGGTAAGAGGGCCATAGTTGTGGGCTACGCTCTTTTTTTGTGCGGGCAGAATGGGGCCAACACCCTCATGATTACCCACTCACCCTCTTCCGTTTTCCACCTGTGCACAGTGCCAGACCCACAGCATTGAGGGAGTAGGCAGGACTGAGTCAACCCTCTCTGATGAGCTCCAGTCCCCCCCGGTCCCCACACTGGCTCCTATTCTTTGCCGCTGTGCACCCGGCCAGCCAGCAGCAACTGGAGTGACAGGCAAGGCATGGCAGAGCTTGCTCTGGGCCCGAGCTGGCATCCATTTGATCAGAGCGCTGATGTGAGCCAGCAGTGCTTAGTTCCCATGGTGCTTTAGAGGATTGCTCTCTCCTCTGTTTTCTCTGTGTGTTGTTAGATTGTGATCTGAGAACTCTGCTTGTCTCATTTGCAGCTTGTGTAGTCAGGCGGGACTGTCCTGGTAGGTGCCGTGTGTCTGCTCCAGCCAAGAGGCACATGATTTATTTTAGGGCCAAGGATGTGGGCATTCAGAGGGGTCATATTTATAGTCTGTTGGTCTGGTGAGAAGACCTGCCAGTAAAAGCAGATTCTGAAAAAGAGGCACGGGG